TTGTAGTGAAGTTGAGAAACCTTGGATGTGTATTGGGAAAGACCGAGCCCTTGGAACAGAGCTAAAAAAGTGCAGATTTTAAGCGGCCATGCACCAGGGACATGTTGGGGGAGACCTGCCAGGGCTGGAGCCTTGAGTCTCTCATTTGAAGCCCCGACTCTCTGGAAGGCCATCCGCCCTGTTGCCCAAGGACGCTTGCTCAAATAAAGATACAGCATCCCTGATCACCTCTCGTATCTGAGTCCCTTAGATTAGCCAGCTTCTTGTCCATGTGCAATTCCTCTCTTGGCACACCCCTGGCTGAATTCTCCTGCCTGACATTTTTCTGGAACACATAGGGTGAATGCTGAGGCTTCACCAAAAAAGACACAGCGTACACTGATTTGCATAACATTTGCGCAACACAAACTTATCAACACAAACGCAAGTCTGACTATAAAATAACTAAAACTGTTCAGAGAAAGGAGGCATGGACAACATGCAGCCTTCCCATGGTTGTTGGAGTACAATTCCCATCACCCTCCAGCATTGACGATGCTGGCTTGGGCTGGTGCGAGCTTAGGTCCATGAATATCTGGGGCATGCATCCGGTGCGGAAACCACATCTGAGTCCACTGGAGAAGAAACGAGGAAGGGAGAGAGCTGAGATGGACAAATCCTCTCTGAGGGGCTCGGTCCTTGTGCCTGGGAACCATGTTGAGTCTGGCTGTTAGAAGCCCCACCGCAAAGATTTTTTCCTGCACAAGCCAAAACCCTCACAAAGGACTTTGTAATCCTAAGGATGGCCTGATGGCACAGAATCATTCACCGTGCGGGAGACCGCCTGGGGGCTGCAGGGAGCTACCCTGACTCCCACTAAGGGAGAACAGAGGGCTATACATATAGTAAATAAGAAAGCCCTGTGTCTGGGTATGCCTCAACCCTCCAGGCCATGGGTCCTCAAACTATGGCCCGCAGGACAGATCCAGCCCACCATGGCCATCGAACTGGCCCCAGCCACAGTTCGTCGCCCGCACGCGTGCTTGCTGCGTGGGCAGGGAGGTGGTGGCTTGCTCGCTCAGAGATGGTTTTGGACTCACTGGGAGCTCTCCAAGCAAGTGAGCCACCGCTGCGTGTGCCCGGTGCCACCTCCCGCGTGCCCGGCGGCACCTCACCGGCCCGCGCCCCCAGGCATCCCCACCTCACCGGCCTGCGACGGTCGGTCACCGCAGCCTTTCAACTGGCCCCCATTCAAAAAGTTTGAGGACCGCTGCTCCAGGCACTGTTCCCTGCGCATCCAGCCAGGTATGATGTGTACTTAGCGTGTAACTGGACCCTGCTTGTGTAAATCACATGCCAGCAGGGTCACCTGCCCACCTGAGCCACCCGTAGCTGAGCCTGTGGATGAACAAGAGTACATGAGAACTGCAGGGGTGCCTAGGAAGTTTGTACAGATCGAAGCGCTTTCCCTGAGCCTCAGGCCAAAGGGCGAGATGCCACTGTGGAATGTCCCTCCATGTAAAATAAGTCTACCAAAACCCCTAGCACACCTGAATGCCGAGTCCTACAATGTGGCCACCCACTGCATGGGCCATGCACTGGAAGCTGGGGAACGTGGGCAGCGGGAGTGCTGCTTGTGGGGCCCTGTGGGCAGCCGACTGGCCGCTGCATGAGCCAAATGCGGGGCAAGGGAGCCCCTTGCGCTCTGTTCTCATATCTTTAGGTGTGGATCAGGAGACAAGTAGGAATAGCGGCAAAGGTTGCGGCATGAGTTGCTCTGGGTCAGTTTCCCAATCAAGCCTTCTTTTAGGGCAGCACTTCCTGACCTAGTACCCCCTCGCTCCCTCCCCTAAAGATCTGCTTTCATTTCTCGGGTTGGGGATTCCCTCTTTGGATGGCAGTGTCAGGACGTGGCCAGCTCTGGGGTGCCATCAGGTGGCCAGAACTGGAATGGCCACTGCAGTGTGTGCAGGATCTGACCAGGCGCAGCTGGAGTGCTCAGCCTCCTGATGAGCACCGGCTGCTTGCTCTGCAAGGGCAGGCTCCTCCCTTCCCTGCCACCTTGAGCAGCACAGGCCTTCCTCCTCGCTGCAGAATGGCTCCGCTCCTGCATCTGGCAGCATCCCTCAATCCCTGCTGGACCTGCTGCTGCTGCTGCTCTGGTGTCCCGCTGAGTCAACTTGCTGCAGGTAGCTGCTCTCCTCCTCTTTCCAGTTTTTTTTTAAACCTTTGGTTCACTAGCCTTGTTCTGCTCAGCCCTCCTGGTTACTGGGTTCAGCCTCTTTTGCCACCATACTCTGCTTCCAACTTGCTACCAGCCTCTGGATCGCAGTCAGATTCTGCTCTGCCTTGGCTCCTGCTTCTTGGCTTCCTGGAGGGTGCTGTGAACCAGCCTTCCCCAACCTGCTGGCCTGCAGAGGCATTTGGACCGCATGTCCCAGAATTCCCATCCAGCAGGACCAGAGACGGAGAATTCTGGTGTTGCAGTCCAAACATGTCTGGAAGGCACAAGGTAGGGGAACCCTGCTGTAAATGGTTTCTTCCTCTCACGTGCTTGCACACGTGTTTCTCTCTCTCTCTCTCTCTCTCTCTCTCTCTCTCTCAGCATGGCCCTCTAATATGGGGTACAGTACATATAGCCATATGGGAAGCTGTCCTGGGCATCAGCACACAGTGGCTTCCATGAGAGTTGTGGCAGAGGAGGCATAACCTGCCCAAAGGCTGAGCAAGGAGAAGACTCGAACTTCAACACACTCCTCTAAGCAGAGAAACCAAATTCACTGAAGGCAAGCCCTGTATGCATAAGATGCATTGCTTTGAAGTGCTCTTAGCTGTCAGTAAGACCATGTGCTTATTTCCTTTTCTGTTTAAGTAGGAAGGTCAGGGCCCAATGGAGAGTGCCAAAAGAGATACCCTTGCAACAGGAATACTCCCTTAAGCTACCCTGCAAGGTGGTTGAATGCTGCTCTCAGTCCAAAGAGCAGTATGTTTAAAAACAATGGATCATGATTAATTAACGTTCTTCTCGGTTTAACCAGACTCCAGCCTGCAGTAAGGGGCTACAGCCACTGGAAATACTGCAGTATTGTTAGCAACCGCTCAGAGTTTGACCAGAAATATTTTATGTTTGTTTGTTTATGGCTGGGTTTAGGACAACACAATAACCTGCACTCAAGCATTGAGTGCAACTTTTTATTAAGCAGTGATTTTTGTTGAAATGTGAGTTACTATGTGGTCTGAACACAGCTGTGCTCACAAGCCATGTCTTGTTAACCACAAACAAGGGCTTCTGGTTGGTTGGTTGGTTGGTTGGTTATGAACTGTGGGCTGTTCACCATGGTTTGTTGTCTTGGCTGGGTTCAAAGAACAGGATAACCCACAATTCAGCAACAGTCGATCATTCAACCACAAGCTTGAGTGTTGGTTACTGTGTCATCTGAACCCAATTAGTATAAGCTATACTGCAGGGCTATCATCAGTCACTCTAATGTCACAAGAACTGCAGCCCTTCCCAACCTTCAGTAGGCAAAAAACTGTGTTTGACATTTGTATTAGTTAGCAGAACATTATTGATTTAAAGTTTCACATTAACTGAAAATATGGTTATGAAGAGCAGAAATCCCTGTGGAATTTTGAGGGGTGGAGTGCAATGCCCTGTCCAGCACCATTAAAATCTGGCTCCATTCATCCCATGGGCTGCCCTTGCTCCCCATCCCAAAGGTGTGGTTGTGCACATCATTTCTGTGCAGGGTCCAGCCAGGCCTTTTCCTTCTTCCTTTCCATTCCACTCACAGAAGTCCAAAGAAATTGCAGTTGGACATATGACACGGGCTGGGCACAACACGTTGAGCGCCGCATGTTGTCACAGGTTAGGGACAAGTGGCTGTAGAGCAGCACTTGTGAAAGGGACCTCGGGGTGCTGGTCAACTGCAGATTGAACATGAGTCAACAGTGTGATGCAGTGGTCAAGAGGGCGAATGCCACCCTTGGTTGCATAGCCAGAAGTGTGGCTTCTAGATCAAGAGAGGTATTACTACCACTCTATACGACTCTGGTGCGCCTGCAGCTGGAGTATTGTGCTCACTTCTGGGTTCCACATTACAGGAAGGATACAGCCAGGTTGGAATCAGTGCAGTGTGGGGCCACAGGGATGGTGACGGATTGTAGGGAAAGTCATATGAGGCAAGACTGAGGGAACTGGGCCTTTTCAGCCTGGAGGAGACCCTGAGGGGATCTGTTGGCTACATATAAGTATGTGAGGAGGTGTCACACAGAGGTGGGCAGAGACCTGTTTTCCCCTGCAGAGGGCTGTATGTGTTCCAGTGGAGCAAAGTTCAGGGAACCAAGATTCAGGGTGGATGCCAGCAAGCACTTCCTGACAGCTGGGACCCTGAGGGTGTGGAATGGGCTCCCACAGGAGGTGTTTGAAGCCCCACCAGTGAGGGTGTTCAAGGATAGGCTGGACATGCACATGGTAGGGATGTCATGAGTGGAGCTGGCTGGAGCTGGGGGGTCAGACTAGATGGCCCAGGTGACCCCTTCCGACTTGCTCTGTTTCTATGTCTGTTGGTTTCAAGTATGGTCCATTTTCGATGTTCACTTTGTCATTGACGGCTGATAAAAATCCAAGCATATATGGCTTTCCTAAGAGATTACTTTAATGGTTGGCTGAAGCTGATGGGAATTGGAGTCAGACACATTTGGACAAACCACACTGGGGAAAGCTGCTATAAGCTTATTCTCACGCAAGCAAAACTCCAGTTCGGCGGGTCGCCTAGGACGATATTCGTCCGTGGCTGGCCTTGGGTAGGCGCTTCGCGGCTGCTCCTCCAGCGCCAAGCGCGCCTGGGGAACGGCGCTGCTTGCGTCCGCCCTGCTCCGAAAGCGCTGGGGCGGAGGCGGCCAGGAGGGGGCGCCGCTCGGCTCCCCTTGGCCGTGGCGCCGCGTCCCCACCCTCCTACGCAGCCTGCCTCCGCGGCCCGGGCCAAAAGAGGCCAGCTGCCGCGCAAAGACCCGGCGCGGCGCGGAGAGGGCAGCTCGGGGGCTGGGGACGAGCAGGAGCGCCCGGTGTCGCGGCGAGGCTGACCTGCAAGACGCGGCCATGCAGCGCGCGGAGTGGGACGAGCAGAGGGAACTGCGGGAGCTCAACTCCCGCCTGTGGCTCTACGTGTCGCGCGTGCGGGAGTTGGAGCGGGAGAACGGGCGCCTGGCGCAGGAGCTGGCGGCGCTGCGCGGCCGGGAGAAGCACTCGCGGCACCTGCAGCGGCAGGAGGAGGAGGTGGCCGAGCTGCGCCTGCTGGTGGCCGAGCTGAGCCGGGCCCAGGGCGAGGCCGAGCTCGAGCGCGACGCGCTGCGCCAGGAGCTGGCGCGCTTGGAGGGTCTGGGCGCGCAGTCCGCAGAGCTGCGCCGCCGCCGCCTGGAGCCCGCGGTGGCCGAGCAGCGGCAGCATCTGGAGCAGCTGCGGGCGGACTGCGCCGCGCTGGAGGCGCTGCTGGAGCGCTTGCTGCTGGAGCACCGGCGCCTGCAGGAGGAGCGGCGGCGGCGGCCCCTGCCGCCGTCGGCCTTGCCGCCGCCCGCCAAGGCTTCGCGCATCAGCCGCCGCGAGCTGGAGGACTCCTACGCGCTGGTGCTGAGCTGGACCTGCGAGCACAGCCTGGAGCGCTACGAGGCCGAGCTGCGAGCCCTGCAGGAGCTGGAGGCGCGCCTCGGCCGCGAGGACGCGCAGAAGCTGCGCGCCGAAAACGAGCGCTGCCGCCGGCACCTGGGCGAGCTGCAGCGCCAGTGGCAGGAGCTGGGCGCGCTGGCCGAGCGCTTGGAGCAGGAGCGCCTGGCGCAGCAAGAGCGCCAAGGCGCGGAGCGGGCCGAGTACCAGGTAGGTGGGCGGGGGGGGGGGGCGCCGGGCTCGCGTACAACCTCCGTCGGCGCGCGGTGGAGCAAGGCAAGGGGCCGCCCTGCGCCTTCCGGTCTGTCCAGCCGTTTACGAGCAGGGTTAGAGGGAGCCGCCTTTTACTCCAGTGGGGCTCAGTCTCTTCGGAGTCGCTTCGAGGGAGATAGGTTTATTTATCGCTTTCGGCCCTTCCGCTCGGGTTACGGCCTGGCAGAGCTTGGATCGCTGCGTGCCACGATCTTCCCCAGGCTTTCAGCGCCCCAAGGCACTTTGTATACATTGTCCCTGTAAGTTTCCCTCTGTCGCGTATGCGCGGAGTATTCCTAACTTGCAGCAGAGGCAATGGGGAGGGAGGGAGGGAGGGAGAGCATCTGCTCCAGAGTCATTTGGCAAACACTGGGCAGGTGTGGCTCTTTGCAGGAGGAGGGCGAGGTGCAGCGAAAGTGGCAGGGATGATGCCCCCCCTCCCACCCCGGAAAAGGATTGTCCCATGAAGCTGCCTGGCTGGAGGGAAATGGAGACATAAAAGGACATGTTCTCTCAGTGCATGGTGAAGCTGTGGAATTCACCACAAGAAGTGGCGAAGGCTGCCAGTTGCGGGGCTGGGAGGAACTACTGGAGCAGAAGGCTCCCCATGGCTGCTGGTCTTGGTGACTCTAGGCTCCCCCCAGTGCTGGAGGCAGTGTGCCTGTGTGCACTGCTTGCGGGAACATGGGCAGAGGGGGCTGTGGCACTCCTGTCCTGCTTGCGGAGCCTGTGGGCAGCTGGTTGGCCATGTGTGTTGCTGGGCTGCATGGTCCCTGGGGCTGGTCCAGCAGGACTCTTCCTTGGATGGGGTGGGGAGACCTTCACTGGTGCTTCTCCAGCTGTTTCCCAGTTAAAGATGAATCAGCCCCAGCACCAGTTCAGACAGTCGCTCCTGCTTGCACTGGGAACTAGCCTGCAACCCACCTGGGGCTGGGGCAGGCTAAAAACCCAGAATAAACTGGATGCATCCATCTTGTGACTTGGGCAGGCTGCTCTGGGACACTTCCAGAGGCCGGGTTCCAAGCTGACAGTCAAAAAGGCACTGCGCAGTGACTCGGTCCTTTCCTTCTGAACCCCTCCTTTTTTGGGGGAGAAGGAGTATGGCAGTAGTTGTGAGAGCATGAGAAGGTGAATGACGGAAGAACTGGTCCTGAAGAAATCCATGGATAAAGCCGGCAAACTGCATTGGGTACCTAAACCACCCATTGCCTCCAAAACCCAGCGGCATTTTAGCAGGTTTCTGGCTAAGGCTGTGTTGTGCACCCGCTTACTTGAGAGTAAGCCCAATTGTGCACTGTGGGACTTAGTTCTGAGTAAATATGCCCAAAGTTGCACTTTATGCTTCCCCCAGCTAACTGCCTAATTAAACATGTAGTTAACCTGTAAGGATTTTGTTTGGTCTGGCTTTTTAGAAACACTTTATGTGTCTGTTGGTTTTTGCCTGACTTGTGTGGTCCTTCTTGGTTTTCAGGAGCTTGGCCAGCATATCTTCTATCTGCCCTCACTTCAAAGTGTGAGCAAAAGTGACCATTGTGATTTTATAACTGCATGTTGGTCTTTCTCAGACATTGTGGGCGGTTGCAGCTGTCACTGTTGTCTTGCTGCAGTCCCTGGTGAGGAATTCAGTGAAGGCAGGAAATGTTGCTTCCTTAACCCTTAGAGAAACTGCCCCCCCATGCACCCCCCCCCCCGGTGCTGCCTCTCCACGTTGTGGCCTGCAATTCATTCCCAGCCAACGCCAGCTTGGGAAGGCAGCAGTAAAACAAAGGTCCTGAGGGCCTGGAATGGCTCAGATTTGGCTCTGGAGTCCCAGCACAGGACGTGATGTTCCCTCTGCATGTCTGTGTGTGTTGTGGGGGTGGGAGTGGGGGGGGCAGAATAAGACAGACCAGATCCCGCTGCTCTCTTTCCTCATTCCATTCCTGCAGGTGCCTAGAATAGCCTGGCCCAGGCCACACTTCATTCGCCTGCCCTGTGACCCCTGTGGGGGTTTGAGGCCCCAGTGCGGGGCAGACGGGATGAGGCAGCAGGTTGGGGGGTCCCTCATTTCTCCTGAGCTGCAGCACCCTGCTTCTGAGCAAGGGACGGGGTGGGCGACATGGCAAGAAGGGGCCTGCCGGTCAGACCAAAGTCCACCTTGTCCAGCTTCAGTTCACACAGCCGGCGAGTGGCTGCCTGTGGGAAGCGCCTAGTGGGACTCGTGTGTAATGCCCCTCCCATGTTCCCCAGCAACAGATACAGAGGCAGGCTGCTGCAACACAGGGGCAGCATGTAGCCGCCTCCTGCATGAATGTGTCCTCTTCCTTGTGAGCCCATCCCATGTGGGGCAGAGGCGCTCCTGTGATGTGGCGGGCAAAGCAGCCGTTCCAGCGCTCCCCAAGGGAGCTGGCACTGCTCCTGCCCCCCAGAGGGTGTCTGTCCCTTGCTGTGCCTCTCCTTCTGAGGGCTGCCAGCTGGTGGGGTGGCTGGGTCATTGCAGGTCCCGGAGGTGACCTCCTCGAGGGAGTACGCTTTAGACAGCCTGCCGCAGCCCCCGACTAACTTGCCACTCTCTTACTGCTTTCCAGTGGGCTCCGTGCTCCCGATCTCTTAGAACAGCCACAGGAACACTGCTTGCAAACATGGATTTTGCGTGTGCCTGCACACGTGTACTGAAAATGCACACTTCTGCATGCTTCAGTACACGCTCAGTGAAATCCCAGGCTCATCATGACAGGAGGCAGGAGCGGGAGTTTGCATCTGCCTCTGTCCCACCTGGGAATGAGCACTATTTGGTTGTAGAAAAAAAGGAAATTGAGCATCTGGAGCCAGGCCCAGGCAGCTGGCCACTGACCGTAAAAAGCTGTGTAAAAATTAGAAGAACGCTGCACATGGTGAACGAACTCATTGACCCAAAGGAATGCAGGAAGAGCCCTGCTGGATTTGACCAGAGGTCCATCTTGAGTCTACCGACATGCTAACCACATGGCTCTGTCCTAACTCTTTTGGTCTAAGCAGCTGATAGTCAAATGTAGACTGCTGCCAGACTTGGAAGCTCCATTCAGCTCTCACAGCCGGTAACTGCTGTTGGATCTGCCTTCTGTAGGGATGGCTAATTGCCTTTTCAAGCCGGGAGGCTGCTAGCCATCACCTCCTCTTGGATCAGCAAATGAATCACTTCTGACTTTGTCATTCACACAGTAAACCCACTGAAAGCTCTTGACTTACTTAAAAAGAAACATAGAAACATGAAATGCCTTTGATTTGATTGCATCTGCATCTTAATAGAAAAAGAATTGGAAACTAAACTGCCAATATCATGCTGCCCTTATGCAAGTCTATGGCATGGCCACTGTGGAATGCTAGGTAAGGCCCTGGCCATCGCACCGAAAGAAGGCTATGATGGAGAAGGACCGGGCACAGAAAGGGGCAAGCAAAGGGGGGGGGCAGGAGCAGGCCCTCTGTAAGGGAGGGTGGCAATGTCTGAGGGACGGGAAGGAAGACATGGCGGAGGCGGGCATGGCTGTGCATGGTGTGGAGAAGGTGGAGGGGAGCCTCTTCTCCCTGCCTGTCATATGAGGCCAGAGATCTCATGCCGTGAAGCTGGCTGGCACGATGGCAAATAGTCAAGCTGTGGAATCCATTGCCATCGTTGGCACCCACCATTCGCATAACTTTAACAGGGGTGGAAGAAGAGGCTCTCTGTGGCCCCGAGTCTTGATGGCTGGGTGCTGCCTACATACACCCATTGCTGGGGCACATGGGTGAGGGAGGGCTGTCACGCTTTGCTTGGGCTTCTGGCGAGGGGCCAAACACTGGACTGGATGGATCTTCCGCTCTTGAGTTCCTCCGTATAAGTGAGTCTGGGCCAGCCCACTGTGTGAAATGGCTCCTTTTTCATTTTTTTAAAGGAAACAAAAGCACAAAGCAATAACAGCCACACAGTAAAGATCTGTTTAGGGTTTCCTGCTGTCCCATTTTTTAAAATTTATTTATTTATTTATTTATTTATTTAGGAGGCTTCTATGCTGCCCCATTCGCCGAAGCCTCGGGGCGGCTCACAATAATAAATAAATAAGCACAGTATAAAGCAATATAATATAATTTGAGTCACTCTGGCCCTTCCATTTCATTGGAAGACCCTGGCTTCTAATGTGGGGGTGGGGGTGGCAGCAGAATAAGCTATCAACTTTCTCCACACCATGCATAATTTTTATAAAATGCTGCCAAACCCTATTTAGTGGCCTAACCCATGGCCTCTGGCTTTTCCCCTTCCCCTGGCCTGCCTCTTTTTCCTGACCTCCAGTTCTTTGGCTTTAATCCCCCCCCCCCCCCCCCCCCCGCCATTGCACAGGCGAAATGTTTCTTCTCAGGTCCAGTTACCCGCACTAAGCGCTTGATGCTAAAATAGGGTGGCATTTTGCTCACTGGTTCTGCCTTCAGCCTCGCCCACCACTGCGATGCAGCCTCCAGTACAAGGTTTGGCCCCAAGGCTGAAAGAAATTCGACACCCCGGCCTTAGTCACATAATCTGTGGCAGTCTTCATGGATGTAATGAGTGTGCTTTTATGACGCCAGTCCTGGGACGTCTGAATCACACAAGTGCGTCCCACACTGCAGTGGCAAGGAAAAAGTATCCCCGTTCTGTTGAAGAGCAAGGGCCCACCTGATGTTGGCGTCCGCCCACCTTGCCCTGTCATTGTATGTCAGAAAAATCAGCACCTGATTTTGAGAATCTCCGATTTCTATGCATCTGGCCTGTGGACTTTGCAGCAGCTTTTTTCAAGTGCTGCATATTAAATTGCATTTATAGCCTACCCCTTTTCTCTTGCAAGGAGCCGAGGCAGCTTGCATCCCATTTTATCCTTCAGCCCTGCGAGGTAGGCTAGGCTGAGAGTGAATGACTGGCCCAAAATCACCTGCTGACTTTCAGAGCTGAGTGAAGACTAGAACCTGCCTCTCCCAGATCTCAGTCCAAC